TTTTGTCCTACGGGAGGGGAAGGGGACGAAGTAGGGGTCAGGGAGTCTGCACCTGGGCAGTAATTCACTGCTTCCCCACTACCCAGAGGAAATGCTACTTTCATAAAACAACTAAAATTTGGAGTGTAACACTGAAGTCTGCTTTCTTGGCACGTTTTGGAACGAGCATGTCATTACATGTAGCTGGGTCTTTGTCTCCTGAAAGCTGACTCATTTCGTTTAAGTTATCTAAACAACAAAACCTACAATGTTAATACTGTGGGCAGTTTCAATCAGCAGTTGTTAAAGTCTGATGCTGAATGATACCAGTAATTCACACAGATGTAAAACGCAACATTCACAGATCTTGTGAAATGAACATTCCTCCGGTACCGAGTTAGTAATATCAAGTACTAACTAAACGTGTTCCACGTAAGGTCAAGAACTTACTCCTTGGAATTAAAAAGTGCTCGTCAAGAATATAAGAATCTTGGGCTCATGGCGAGTTGTGTATGTTTTAATAAAAAACAAAATCAATTCCAAATTTTAATGGTTACCCATAGAAACTGCTCAAGGGAAGACTTTAGCCAAAGAGCCATAAAGCATCCCCAGCATTTAGCCAATCCTGGTATCTTTAATACTGACCTTAAGTTCCATGTAGCATTAGGTACTCTATGGCAATGATCCAATTCACAAGCTTTAAAAACAGCACCACTTTGGTTTAGCCTACCTTTCTACAAATGATTCTGTGAAGAGTAAGACAATGTGAATGGACCACACAATCCTTCTGTTAGGTCCACATGGACTTTCCTATAGAGATAAGCCCTCGTTAAGATATTCTAAAATCAGTCCACGTGCCACTTTCCAATTCTGGGATCACGGCCTTTCTGACCGAATGCAACACAGTCTCCTCACTCCGGCCACCTGTGAGAAGGCTACAGATGGCAGAACATTTTCTGCTTCCCTAAATATTAGCTCATTTAAGATCTCTCTGTCTTAAGAGCAGGTCCCCGCTTAAAAACAAACCAGAAAAATCCACTAGATTACTATCTCTCGCTTATTTGTTTATTGAAGAGCAAAGCGTAGTACTAGCATGTGGGTTAGAAAGTAAGGTTACATTTATTTTGCACTGTGGAAGCCCTGCAACGAATCAGCCAGCAGATTCCACTCCCATGGCTTCACACGAGGAAGAAGGTACGTGTCGCCACTCTCTCTGGAAAAGCTCGACAACCAGGATTTACCAGAAACCCTAGTGTAACTGCCTGCCAATGCCAGTCATCTGGGCCACTGTCAAAGACGGAAAGTAAACTACGCAAGTCACATGGGTCACAAAATTAATAAAAGAAAAATCAGAAATTTACTTAAGCTTCCTAAAACATAGAGAGCATCACACTTTCAAGTTTCACGGTGATTAGTTTAACACCATTTGCCTGTTAAAACTGTCACTTAAAATATACATGTCAAAGTGCTTCAAATGCAGCATACTAATTAAAATTCCTCTTGGAAGTTTCCAGTACCGGCAGCTAATTTAGGAAGGTTATTCACCCACAGGGTGTTCAAGAAAGGGCATGCTGCCTTACAAAGACACTTGAGAAGAAAAAGAAAATTCTAACTGGACTTCACAAATCTCCCACAGAGTGCTCAACCAAGTCCAGAACTGCTAAAGGCCACTCTGAACATAGGAATCAACGCAACCAAAGATTTCTGTATTTATTTTTGGCCTTTCTGGGGACCCACAGCCAAAAGTTCTAGCCCATCGGCTTCATTCTGTTGCCTCCAGCACATTCCCAGTCCTAGACCAGCAAAGAGATCTAAGGCAATCAAGGAGATTGGAATGTGGCAATATCTAGGCGCTACAGAGCAAGTTGGCGCCTCTGTCCTCGGTGGTGGCAAGTTCAAAGGAAGCCCAGAAGAAGAATGAAAGGAAGAGTCACACACAGGCTTCTAGTTAGAATAGAAAGGGGAAATGGAGCCTTTGACTCAAACACCTTCAGTTTACCTTTTTATTTTCCACAGGTGATAGAATCAAAGTCTACTTTGGCAAGCAAGGTACATTCCAAAGGCTTTTCAACAGACTACGAAATAAATTCTTGGAAAACTGAGCATTTAGGAAACTTCCAAATTCACATTTGAATTTGAAATTAGTGGCGGAATGACGATTTAAATTGAAATGTGAGAAGTTTAAATTCTGTATTGCACTAGGATCACTGGGCACTAAGGTGACCCCTTTTTCTCCTTAAAGTGGACCCGATGCCTGCTTTTTCTCTTGCATGTTCCCCCAGAGCCCAGACTCCGGGTCATGATCAATACTCTTTTGGCACCTACTTAGAATGTGGGCAACCCGAGACGTACACTCCTCTTCCCCAAACCTCTACTAAAATAAGTGACATGTTGGTAGTAGTACAAGTACATTCTAGACTAATCAGCACGGAGCTTTTTTAAAATTAGAATTAAGAGCATTTTAAGCATGGTGTGACTCAAATGCCAAGGACGATTTTGCTGTTTGTGTATTACCCGGTTGTGTGCGAATGGAGGAGCGCTGCCGTAACCCGTGACAATTTTAAACTGTGCGATGCACTGATGGTCACGAATGTTAGTAAAGGACTGGGAAAGACGGCAATAACATACTCTAGTCAGGTAAAGATTTTTCTATCCCATGCTCCCCTCAAATGTGGGGGAATTAATTTCTGTCAAGCACCAAAGGGCAGGTTTCATACCATAACCTGACAAGAAACTTCTCACAGGTCTGGGTAACTCTGGTCAGCAGAGACACAAAGGAAACCTCCGGCCTGGCTAAGGCACTCTACTCTGAAATGGACAGAAAACATGCATGTGTGGCCAACCACGCCATTGCTCCCCTAAAGGCAGCTCAGTGTATGCTGGGAGAAAGGCTGGGGTGGTCCACTCACCCCCAAAGTATCATGCAGAAGCCTGAAAGATCTTGTATATTTATATTTATACTTTGGAAATGCGGTGGTAATTGGCATGACACAAATGCTCAGAGCTATTTGTAATGAAGTCCTGCTTCAGCTGCTGTATCACTACGTAACAAATGGGGCTTTCGAGATGCACTTCAAGATGGCAGACGGAACCAAGAAAACGTCAGCAGTATACTAACGATGCACAAGTCCACAGTATTCTGAAACACTCAGTTTCACTTTTATCTTGCTGACGGCCACCTTTCTTTCATCTAACGGTGCCAATGAAACTATGGCATAATTCTTTACCACTGTAGGGAAATATACAGTACAGGCACAAATAATTTCAAATAAACTTAATGCAGCAGAAAGAGAACAGAACACACTTTGAGGTAAAACAGCCCCAGAAGTACAGGACACGACCCCATGCCAGAAAGGGTGTGTGTGTGTGTGTGTGTGTGTATAACTATACTGTACAAGGTGAAGAAAGCCTGTGGTCCAAATTTGTCATTTAATAAATATTTATCAGTTCTTTCCTTTATAATACAGATTACTCTCATTCTGTGTACAAGGTCAACAAAATAGTAAAATGATTAGCTCAGAAACCTTTGAATGAAGCTTTGTTCCCGGCCCAAAATAACACTTGATCCAGTTCAATTTTGCAGATGACAAAGAACAAGGTATACAAAAAATAGAGTTACCGTTACTTAATTCATTCATTCTCTGACCTCCATGATGGCAAGTTACTAACAAACATGGAATCACTACCCACATTTTCCTGCATCAATTTCTCACCTATTTTCAGTCTCAGAAAAAGTCACCAGATATACCTCAACCTTTACGAGCCGTTTTTAAAAATGAGTACAGAACCATGAGTTAGCTCCTTGACTCCTCATTTCTAATACACTGGATGACAATGATTAGAATTTACAAATTTAAAAACTGAAATATCAATTATAGTTATTTTTACAAAGCAGCAGACTGAAATTTAAAAAGGAATACATTATAATTAAATTTAACGATGGTCACATTCATAGATAAATAATGGTAAAAAATTTAATTACATATCAACACAGTGGTGCCAGTTTTATCCAAGTGCAATCCATCCAAAAAAAAAAAAGGGTTTAAGATACACTCTTCATTCAAGCACAAACTTCATTCAGTGGAAAATAAAGGAAAATCAGCAAGTAAATATCACCACCACCAAACTACACAGAGACAAAGTCAAAAAGAAAGTCATGAGAAGGTGTCATGTAAAAAACAACCACATTGAAGTCAAAGGGATTTTTACCTCTGTCAGTAAACCTCAAAAATTATTCCAAGTCATTTTAAAGAGAGTAGATACTAAGTAAGGCATATATCTCAAAAGTTTTCTTCAACTGGGGAAGTGGAAAAGTGGGCAAGTTGGGGAAGAAAGAATGTCTACTTCCTTATCCTGTATGAAATAAAAACACAGCACTCTCTCCTCCACAAAAAAGAGACAGGACGATCGAACGGAAGAACAAATTGAATCAGGAAACTAATTTCAGAGTGAGGTTCATAGCAGTAATTCATAGGGAGGTTCGTGAGATTCCTAACTCCAAGGTAAATTTCTCTTATAAGGAAGTTTATCTGTGTTCCTTACGAGTAATTATCACAGGACTGGGACTGTCACATGCATTCATATAATCATAGTTCGCAGGCACCAAATCTCACCAACTTGCCGCTGAGGGGGAAAATACCACATTTAAACGATGAACCATGTTAATGTGTGAGCTACAATTATGATCCATTCTCTACTAAGTCTCAGTAGAATATTTCTCTTTAAAAGAAAATTAAACCGGAGGCGCCCGGGTGGTGCAGTCGGTTAAGCGTCTGACTCTTGATCTCAGCTCAGGTCATGATCTTGGCAGTTCGTGAGTTCGAGCCCCACATCAGGCTCTGTGCTGATTGCGTGGAGCCTGCTTGAGATTCTGTCTCTCCTTCTCTCTGCCCCTCCTCCGCTTGTGCTCTCTTTCTGTCTCTCTCTCCAACTAGGTAAATAAACTTAAAAAAAATTTTTTTTTATTAAATTAAATTAAACCATTTGTCAAGATCTGTTCCCAAGAAAGAGAGCCAGAATACTAGAGAATCTAAATATATATATTAGCTCTCTTAGCACATGAGGACAAAAGGCATTTCCATGGGAAGGAGAAATGAGTATTTGGCAACTGTATATTGTTCTGTAATCATTTGGCATCTCCGGCTAACAGTAACTTCCTCTTATCTTTTCCCCGTATTAGATTTGGGCTATTGATAACTTCCATAGCGAAAGACCTACCACTGAAACAGTATCAAATATGAAAACACCTTGTGGTTTTCTTAATGTTATCAGTGTTCCTAAACCAATCTGGGGGCTCTAAAAATAAAAACAAAGCATTTTTAACTCTGTACGAACCAAAACATCATGGACTCATGAAGCTAACATCACTAGAAACATTTTGCTGGTCTAAAGTACATTATGCCTAACCAAAATGCCACACAGTTTTATAAAAAGTATGTTGGGAATTAGTAGGTCCAAAATTTCGTAAATTCAGATCATTTGTCCAAGTACTATACACACTGAGTTCCCGTGTCTGTTAAGCAGATCAGTTTAGTTCAATGGTGATGGATGAAATATTTACAAGCATCTTATTTACAGTACTTCCTTCTGTAGATTACAGGCCAATACTCTTTTCTTCCGTTCCTAGTCAATCCGAGTTTGGTTTCCTCAATGAGAAGGGATAAATCTGAAAATGGTTGCTCAGCTGCTTTACCTACATAGAAAACCAGAACATGAGACGGTGACAAGTACATTCCTAATTATTTTTAAAAAGCACACAAAATTCACCCACTGGAGACAACAATTTACCGACTGTAACAGCAAAACTCAGCAGAAATAACAAAGAGGCTTTTGTGGACTAGGATAGCTACAGAGCTAGAGGGCCATAGAATTCTACAGAATACTAGAACTACCCTGGGAGAGTTAGGACTTAACATGGGTCTGCCTAACTCCCAAATCTAGAATTTCTTCCAGGGCCCTCCAGACCACCCAGATTCACACCCAAATCTACTGGGTTAGTTGACACAATAATATCTAGTAGGTCAAATATTTACATATATAGACTCTCTATTCAACTGCTTACAGCATTTCTAGATAATCATTCCTAATCCTGATGAACAGTAGAAAAGCAGATCTCCACATTTTAGGTTAGGGTATCCCTAGTGGGCAGGCAAGACCCTGGTTATGTGTCAGTTACCAAAGTTCTAGTTCTGTTGCTGTCATTTGTATTTCTAGTTCAAATGAATGTTCTGTGTAGCTTGCAAGTTTCACCTTCTGCTCAGAAGTTGCAAAACGTGGCAAGAGAGCACAAAGACCGACAAAAAAGATATTCCTAGAATTTTTTTCAATTACTTTGATTTATTTTCCAGATTTTTAACACTGAAAATATACTGCCTTTGTAATTTAACGAAAAAGGTTTTTTGGGTTGGTTTGGTATATGTACGGTTTCCGAAAGATATGCTTCTGAAGGGTTGTAAAAAATTAGAACAAGTATAAAAGACATTTACATGCAAGACATTCATGCATGTGAAATATAAAAGCCTAAGAGTGTTGACATAAAATCAAGCATTTATGTTAAGTATGCATAAATAAAAACATAAATGATTACGTCCTCATGTCACAATCCATAGTTATCGTGGATTTTTTTCATCTACTTTGTTCTAACAAATGTAGGCTGCTTTGGGGAGAACACTAAGGGAAGAAACCTAAATTTAGCAACATATACAAGGTAAAAGGCATGACAGGTGTGCTCATATAAAATTTTTTTTTTTAATGTTTATTTTGAAGGAGAGACAGAGCGTTGAGTGGGGGAGGGGCAGAGAGAGAGAGAGAGAGAGAGAGAGACACACACACACACACACACACACACACACACACACACACACAGAATCCCAAGCAGGCTCCAGGCTCTGAGCTGTCAGCACAGAGCCCGACGCAGGGCTCAAACTCACGAACCACAAGATCGTGACCTGAGCTGAAGTTGGACATGTAGCCGACCAAGCCACCCAGGTGCCCCTAGGTGCGCTCATTTTAAAATATTATGACAGAAGACATGTGTCTCAAACTGAGTCACGGTGGAGTTCCTTTCAAAACAAGCATACCAAATAAAAGCAGTATTTTAAGAGCCATAAAAACATGAATACCCTTTTACATAACCTCATTGCTATGAAATTATCCTCAGAAAATAAAATAAAGAAAAATATATTACTCCAGATTGTTATTGTTGTTCTTGTTGTTGTTATTCCAACCTTATTTGTAATGGTGAAAATCTGGAAACAACCTAGATGATTAAAATAACTGGATCATAATTAAGTAAACTGGGTAATTATTAAGTAATCTCCTTGCTGGAATACTGTACAATTAAAAACCATAATTATAAGACCAGCTAGAATACATAATTAGAAAAGAATGTTAAAGTGTGAGGAAAAAAAATAAATTGCATGGCTCTGATTTTCATTTTATTATATCTACCTCAGTCCATTTGCCTTGAAACTAGTCTCTTTTTAGAAGAGAATATTAAGGTTTGCAAAATACTTCTTAAATCCATTCTCTTCTATAATTCTCCTGACAAAAAGTCCCCTAAAGCTAAAGAAGCAAGTATAGAGGGGCACCTGGGGGGGCTCACTCGGTTGCAAATCCGATTCTTGACTTCAGCTCAGGTCATGATCTCACTGTCTGTGAGTTCGAGCTCCATGTCAGGATTAGGATTCTCTCTCTCTCCTTCGCTCTGCCCCTTCCCTGTTCACACTCTCTGTCTCTCTCTCTCTCAAAATAAATAAATAGGGGCGCTTGGGTGGCTCAGTCGGTTAAGCATCTGACTTCGGCTCAGGTCATGATCTCATGGTTTACGAGTTCGAGCCCCACATTGGGCTCTGTGCTGACAGTGCAGAGCCTAGAACCTGCTTTGGATTCTGTGTCTCCCTCTCTCCTTGCCCCTCCCCATTTGTGCTCTGTCTCTGTCTCTCTCTGTCTCTCAAAATTAAATAAATGTTAAAAATAAATAAAATTTTTTTAAAAGTATAGAAATAGATAATCAACAAATGGGATTACTTGGTCTCATATAACTAAAAGCACACAAGAGCTTACAATTCCATTCACCAAGAAAACAGTTCACATTTGTACCTAAAAACAAGAACTCCTCATAATAACTATTGAGTTTTAAAGTTATTTGTAGTTACTGTAACATACTCATCAGAGAAACAATATCTGATATTATGTACCTGGATATTATCCAATATTTATAGGGACTATCCCAATTCTTCCAGCTACTTTCATAAGCAACTTTCTTTTGAAATTTTTCCTTCGCCACTTTTCTACTACTTACAAGAACCAAATAGAACCAATTTTGCTCTAGATGACTCACCACTCGTACTCCATAATGGATGTGGGCCAGAGTGAAAACAGCTGTTAAGGTATACAGGAGAATGCTCTCAACGTAAGAGGCTACTCCTAAGTTTACCACCAGGACAACCAAGAAAAGAGGAACCAGCAACCAATTCAAAGTTGGGCACCGAGTACTGCTCATTTGACAAACAATCAGCTGACACTTGAAGTTAGGGAAAAGGAAAAAAAAAAAAAAAAAAAGAATGAAAATTTAATTAGCAAAGCACTTCATTTTCTTAAAATATAATTTATTGTCAGATTGGCTTCCATGCAACACTCAGTGCTCAATCCAACAAGTGCCCTCCTCAATGCCCATCACCCACTTTCCCCTCTACCCCACCCCCCATCAACCCTCAGTTTGTTCTCTGTATTTAAGAGTCTCTTATGGTTTGCCTCCTTCCCTCTCTGTAACTTTTTTTCCCCCTGCCACTCCCCCATGGTCTTCTGTTAAGTTTCTCAGGATCCACATATGAGTGAAAACATATGGTATCTGTCTTTCTCTGCCTGACTTATTTCACTTAGCATAATACCCTCCAGGTTCCATCCACATTGCTGCAAATGGCATGATTTCATTCTTTCTCACTGCCAAGTAGTATTCTACTGTATATATAAACCACATCTTCTTTATCCATTCATCAGTTGAAGGACATTTAGGCTCTTTTCATAATTTGGCTATTGTTGAAAGTGCTGCTATAAACATTGGGGTACAAGTGCCCCTATGCATCAGCACTCCTGTATCCCTTGGGTAAATTCCTAGCAGTGCTATTGCTGGGTCGTAGGGTTGATCTATTTTTAATCTTTTGAGGCACCTCCACACCGTTTTCCAGAGCGGCTGCACCAGTTGGCATTCCCACCAGCAGTGCCAGAGGGTTCCCGTTTCTCCACATCCTCGCCAGCATCTATAGTCTCCCGATTTGTTCATTTTGGCCACTCTGACTGGCGTGAGGTGGTATCTGAGTGTGGTTTTGATTTGTATTTCCCTGATGAGAAGTGACGTTGGGCATCATTTCATGTGTCTGTTGGCCATCTGGATGTCGTCTTTGGAAAAGTGTCTATTCATGTCTTCTGCGCATTTCTTCACTGGATTATTTGTTTTTCGGGTGTGAAGTTTGGTGAGTTCTTTATAGATTTTGGATACTAGCCCTTTATCTGCTATGTCATTTAGCAAAGCACTTCAAAACAAGTCACTCCAACATTTAAAAGCATTCCAACACACTTACACAACATTATTAAGTTCAGAAGTTCTCAACTGCTCAGAAGCCCAACGGAACCCCTGTCCCACCTCCAAACCCGTGGACTCCCCGAGTGTCAGACAAGGCTGGAAAATAATTTAGTGAGGATGCTATAGAAGGCATTCTTCCGCTAGGTAACAGTTTGGATAAAAGGAATTTCTCCCGATTTTAAGATGGTGTGATAACAGAAAAGAACTTTCAAAATAGCCTTGTATAGCTCCATACACCTAAATTTCTTTATAGTGATGAAGAGATGCTATCTCCAATTCAGTCATATTGTCATATTAACACCTCAAAACCTCTCTGGCTTCTTTACTTCCAATACCTTACTCAAATCTACTTTTATGCCTTCAGAGATAATTTTTTAATACAAGGTATTAATATTTTCAGATCTTTAAACCCTGCGAAATCAGTAGGACCGGTGATAATGAACACATATTTACACACATGGAAACATAAGCTCAGTGGCTAGCTTTTAAAGTAAAAACTTATTAAGGACCTGACCGGAGCTAGAGCACATGCTCCCGGGTTGTCAGGACTATTAAGGTCTTTTCTCAACTGCGCCCGATCTCTCCTGGCTGCTGTCTTGCTGGGCCATGGCAGAGAAAGGGCTTTTGAAAAATATGTTGTATTTATTACAAAGTTTTTACACCTGTTCTTAATTTTAAAATCAGCTGATTTAAAAATGTGTGTGTGTGTGTGTGTGTGTGTGTGTGTGTGTGTGTGTGTGTTTTCTCAAAAACCCTTTTTAGTTTCCCTAAACTAATCATTAGATCTGCAGCCATCTGGAAAAGGAAAAAATAATTTTTAGCATGTTCTGTGTTTGGGTTTATTACTCTTTAAAGTTTCTACTGTAAAATATCTTTAAATTAAAATCTGTTTATTTTTAATTCGGAAGATTTCTCCAATTATCACATTTTGTCATATATTCCTTAGACAGGACTTAAATGAAAAAAAACCTGGGGCGCCTGAGTCACTCAGCTTAAGCATCTGGCTCCTGGCTTAGGCTCAGATCATGATCTCACCGTTAGTGAGATCGAGCCTTACGCTGGGCTCAGCGCTGACAGCCAGGAGACTGCTTGGGATTCTCTCTCTCTCCCTCTCTCTCTCTGCCCCTCCCTTGCATGTGCTCTCTCTCACTCAAAATAATAAACATTAAAAAAAAAGAAAAAGAAAAAACCTTACTGTGATGTTGGCAAAGGCTGTTCCAACCATAAAGTAGAATAGTCTAGGATGTATCTCTAAAATATCTGAAGGTGACTGAAGGATCCATGCTGTAGACAAAATGAAGAGCAAACATGGAGAAAAAAAGGGAACCATAGCTTCATAGACTGAATTGTGTTTCAAGGTGTTATTTTTATAGCTTCTGAAAAAAAAAATCAAGTAATACAAAGAACATTATTACAATATAAAAATCATTCCGTATTTGTAACTTTTGTAGTTTTGAAACTTTTTTCACACTTATCCTCTTAATTTACACTCACAATAATCCCACAGCATACATAGAACCAACATTACTAAACCCCATTTTACAGACAGGTTAAGTGACAACGTGAGAATTCAAATTTATATAACTTCCTACCAAGTGGCAGGGCCAGGACGAGAATGGAAGTGTTCTGACCCCGGGGCCTCCAGAACGTAAAGATAAATAAAACCTGATCTTTTGTTTTACAAGACTTATGCTCTAGGAGGGGAAATAAAATGAACACAAAACAGCACTAGCAAGTACCTGGCTGTGTTATTATGATACCAAGTGACAGAGAATCTAAAAGCGGACGACCCTGCACTGAGACTATCCTAGCATATCTCACTGTCTCTGGCCACACACTCCCATACATGTTTGCTCATCTGAACAAAGCCCCAAATTCTCCTCTTGGTTCTGTCACTGACAACATGATTCTGGACAAGATATTGCCTGATGAGGACCTCATCCTTAGAAGAAGAGGAAAGGTCTCAATCTCTAAGGCCTTCAGAGCTTTAAATGTTATGGTTTCTATGAATGGCTGCCAGCTGCCATCGACAGGGAAGATTCATAGAGTGTGGCTTGACAGAGAGGATTCTGCAAGACAGATCTGAGGACTGAAGGATGAAGTGGGAAGTACAAGTGTTTCACGTAAAGGAGACAGCACTAGAGGGAGGTGGGGGCCAAGTTACCAAGGAGAGAAAACAGCAAAGTACTTTCAGGGCCCGTAAGAAAATTCAGCGTGGCTGAGCAAAGGTGAAGTGCAGATCAGAGAAATGAAACTCTGCCCAGGCAACTCCCACAGTATCCCCGGCCCCACTCCTCGGGGCGGGAATTTTTATACAGTGCGACTTGGAAGTCAGCATAGATCCGGGGTTTGGTCCTAAACTACACAAACTCAGAAATTTAATTTTATGATCATGCTGACTAAACTTACACAGAATCAATTCATAAAAACTTACCATCAATTTCTAAAAAGGACATAAACCTGTCACTATTCAACGGGAACACACTCCTTCCCAATTCACTCACAAAAAATGACAAATTAGAAGACTTGTCTCGTGAACCAAAAACTGTAACAAAAGAACTAGTAGTTTGTGCTGTGGTTGAAATGACCACACAGCCACCATAGATACCCTAAATGGTCCTAAACTCATCCCAGATTCAAAACACAGCTTTTATGACCTTCTCAAAATGTCCAGATTCCAAAAGCAAAACAGATCCTAAAATTCATCTAACAACTGTCACACTTCTTGCCCAAATAAATAAGGTACTTACCTGAAAAAGTTCAATAAACTCATCGGAAGAGTCACACATAATGCACAGCCTAAAAGGGAGAATATTTAAATTACCGTGAATTGTTATTCAAGAGGGATTTTTCTAATTATCGAATACATACAAAATATGTAACAGTTTTAGACCCAGTAATTCGCAGGTTCGGGTTTACTTCTGTAACGAAATTAAATACATTTCTGACCAACAGTGACAACCGGAAGAGCAGCAGGGCAGTCTGGTGGTTCAGTGCGGAGGCTCGGGAGCCAGACTGGGCTCGAATCTCGGTTGTGCCAACAGGTTATGTGATTTCAGGCAGATTAACGCTTCCGTGCCTCAATTTCCTCTTTTATAAGCCAGAGATAGAATTGGCCCCGCAGGGTTTGTGAGAAGTAAGTGAGTTATTACACGTAAAGACACCTGGAGCAGGGCTTGGCATACAGTAAATCGCACGAGTGTGAGTTACCGATGGATTCCGCGGTTTCCCACTGCCACTGATTTTTCTTTCCCAAGCATTCTTCGTTTCTCCGCCCGCCCCGCCCACGGACACCAGTTCTTTCCCCTCAGACCTAACAAGGACAGCCCTCCCAGGAAGCCCTACCATTGCTTCTGCTGCCCTCGCTCTCTGCTAGCTGACTCTGCTATTCCCAATCACTCGCCAGACTTTTCCATGGCCTTCCTCGGTACTCTTTTATTCCTTCTGCCTTCCCTCTGCAGAAACTGCACTCTTGAATTTACCAAGTTCTCCTAATGATCAAATTCGATATTCTTTCTTCATTCCTGACTTCTAAGTGAGAGGACTCCATTGACTCTCCACTAACTGTAATTCTTTCCTCCCTCTGCCTTTGTGATTCCATCCTCCCAATGTTCCTGTCAGGCATCCAGCTACTACGTGTGGTGTCCTTTATTGGCAACTCTGTCTCCTGCGCATTCCTAACTGGGCATTAACCTGTGCTTCTATCCTCCCTCAGAGAATCCTCTCTTACAGCTTTAACTAGAAGCTTCTTGCAGATGACTCCAAAAGCTGGCAATGTACTCTTGGGCAAATCAGACAATCTCTCTGAGCTTCAGACTCCACAGTTGTCCAATGTGGATGGGTTCAATGATTTCCTAATGTCCCTTGCAGTTTTAAAATTCTCTGATTTGCTGGGGGGGGGGGGGGGGGGGGGGGGGGTGGCGGCACCTGGGTGGCTCAGTCGGTTGAGCTTCCGACTTCGGCTCAGGTCATGATCTCACGGTCTGTGAGTTCGAGCCCCACATCAGGCTCTGTGCTGACAGCTCAGAGCCTGCAGCCTGCTTCGGATTCTGGGTCTCCCTCTCTCTCTGACCCTCCCTCATTCATGCTCTGCCTCAAAAATAAATAAACATTAAAATTCTCTGATCCGGGGCACCTGAGTGGTTCAGTCAGTTTAGCATCTAACTCCTGATTTCAGCTCAAGTCATGATCTCACTGTTTGTCTGAGCCCGATGCACTGACAACATGGAGTCTGCTTGGGATTCTGTCTGTCTGTCTGTCTGTCTGTCTCTCTCTCCTCCCCCCCCCCATGCACGTGCATGTACTCACTCTCCCTCCCTCAAAATAAACAAATATTTAAAAATAAATAAAAATAAAACTCTCTGATTCTACAGATTATAGAGATGTAACTTCCTGATCTTTCTCTCTATCAAACTCCAAATCAACACATGTGGCAAGTTTCTGGATACTTCATTTGGATATTTCACTGTCACTCAACAGATGAGCCCCAGCTTACGCACTCCAGACTCCCACTGACCACACTTGGCCTGGGGTGAGAAGGTGGTCAGTGCAGCTGTGGCCTGAAGGATCAACGACAGAAAGAGATTCCTTCAAAACAGCTCCTAAGACATTTTGCTAAAATGAGATGAAAAGACTGGAACCCACCAAACAGAAATCCCATCTGGGAAGATGAATTACTCTGCCACTCCCGAGCCCAACTGGAACAAAGTTCCTCAAGTTAGAAGAGCTTAGAGAAAAGGAGAAGAGAGGCTGGTGTCCTCAGAAATCTTTAGCAGGTGACTCGGCCTCGTGCTGGGAAGCACAGGTAGGGAGCCAGGGCTGAACCAATTGACCCAGAATCACTACGATGCTGAGGTGTCGAGAGCAGGCTGACACAAACTGGCAAAAGATTTGCTACCAGGAGTATTTTTAGTTTAAAATATCTTGAAATAGCTCTAGCTTAAATACAGCAAGCATGTGGGAAGCTTGAGCTCTATACGGGTTGCCAAAAAGACATACCACATCTTCTCTTACTCCTCTCAACGGCACCTAATGTGCTTTCCATAAAAAGGACGGGCATATCTCAGAGATATTACAGGTTGACTCCATACCACCGCAACAAAACAAACATCGAACGGCACAAGAAAGTCACGTGAATTTTTTGGTTTCCCAGTTACGTTTATACTATAATGTAGTCTATTAGAGTGCAATGGCATTATGTCTAAAACAAATGTGCTTGCCTTAATTTAAAAATACTTTATGGCTCTAAGACTCTAACCATCATCTGAGCTTTCGGTGAGGTGCAATCTTTTTGCTGGTGGAGGGTCTTGTCTTGAGGCTGACGGCTCCTGACTCATCAGGGGGGTGGCTGCTGAAGACTGGGGTGGCTGTGGCAAGTTCTCAAAACAAGAAACAATGAAGCTTCCCAGTGAAGCTTCTGAGTCCTCCTTTCACAATTTCTCTACAGTATGTGAGGCTGTCTGATAGGGTTTTATCCACTGCAGAACTTCTTTCCAAATAGTCAATCCTCTCTAATCCTGCCACCGCTTTGTTTCAACTTAGTTTATGCAATAGGCGAAATCCTTTGTTGTCATTTCAACAATCTTCAGGGCATCTTCACCAGTAGATACTATCTCAAGAAAACCATGTTGTTTTTTCATCCATAAGAAGTAACTCATCTGCTACAAAGTCTGAGCACCAGATTGCAGTAACTCAGTCCCAGCTTCAGGCTCCACTTCGAATTACAGTTCTCTTGCTGTTTCTGCCACAGCTAGTTACTTCCTTCGCTGAAGTCTCGAACCCCTCAAAGTCATCCATCCATAAAGGCTGGAATCAACTTCTTCCAAATTCCTGTCAATGTTGATATTCTGACCTCTCCCCATGAATCACAAATGTTCTTAGTGGCATCTACAATACTGAATCCTTTCCAGGTTTTCAATTTACTTTGCCTAGATCCATCAGATCTTACAGCCTTATAAATCTGTATTTATTTCTTCAATAATAAGGCTTGAAAGTTCAAATTACTCTTCAAGCTCCTGCAGGATGGATGCTTTGTTAGCAAGCAGGAAAACAACGTTAATCCCATTGTACGCTGTAATCAGAGCTCTTGGGTGACTAGGTGCTTGTCAATGAGCAGTAATATTTTGAAAGGAATCCTTTTTTTCTGAGCAGATCTCAACAGGGGGCTTAAAACACTCAGCAAACCATGTTGTAAACAGATGTGCTACTGTCCAGGCTTTGTTGTTCCATGTATAGAGGACGGGCAGGGTAGATTTGGCAAATTCTTAAGGGCCCTAGGATTTTCAGAATAGTCGATCAGCACTGGCTTCACGTTCAAGTCACCAGCTGCATTAGCCCCTACCGTGAGAGTCAGCCTGTCCTTTGAAGCCCTGAAACCAGGCAGTGACTTCTCCTCTCTAGCTATGAAAGTCCTAGATGGCATCTCCTTCCGATATTAAGGCTGCTACAGGTACACTCAAAATCTGTTGTGTCGCGGGGCACCTGGGTGGCGCAGTCGGTTAAGCGTCCGACTTCAGCCAGGTCACGATCTCGCGGTCCGTGAGTTCGAGCCCCGCGTCGGGCTCTGGGCTGACGGCTCAGAGCCTGGAGCCTGTTTCCGATTCTGTGTCTCCCTCTCTCTCTGCCCCTCCCCCGTTCATGCTCTGTCTCTCTCTGTCCCAAAATAAACAAAAAACGTTGAAAAAAAAATTAAAAAAAAAAAAAATCTGTTGTGTCGTGTAGCCACGTTCTTGAATTATCTGAGGCGGATCATCCAGAGAACCTGCTGCGGCTCCTACATCAGCACTTGCTGCCTCATCCTGCACTTTTACGACGCAGAGAAGTCTTCTTTCCTTAACCGACTGAGCCACTCAGGCGCCCCAAGGCTTCTTTCCTTTAAACCTCACGAACCAACCTCTGCGAGCTTCACGCTTCTCCTGCAGCTTCTTCCCCTCCCTCGGTTTTCCTAGAAGTGAAGAGAGCTAGGGCCTTGTTCTGAATTAGGCTTTGGCTCAAGGGAATGTTGTGGCTGCCTTGATCTCCTGTTCAGACCACTAAAACTTCCTCCATGTCACAATAAGGCTGCTTCTCGCTTTCGTATCATTCTTGTGTTTAGGAAGGAGCACTTTTCATTTTCTTCAAGAGCTTTTCCACTGCATTTACAAACTTAGCTAAATGTGTGGCGCAAAGGGCCCGGCTTTGGGCCTATCTCGGCTCTCGACATGCCCCCCTTACTAAGCTTCATCACTTCTAGTTTGCAATTTAAAGAGGGAGACATGTGACTCTTCCTTTCACTTGAGCACTCAGAAGCCACTGGAGGGTCATTAACTGGCCTAATTTCAATACTGTAGCTCAGGAAATAGGGAGGCCCAAGGAGAGGGAGAGAAATGAGAGGGAGAGCGGAGGGTGGGTGGCACAGTCAGACACACACATTCGTCTATTAAATGGCCGTCTTCCGTGGGCGTGCTTTGCGTGTCCCCAAAACAATTCCAACAGGAACATCAAAGACCGCGCGTCACAGACCACCATAGCGAATATAATAATGATGAAGAAGTGTGAAATACTGTGAGAATTACCAAAATCTGACAGACAGAGACATGAAGGGAGCCAATGCGGTTGGGAAAATGGTGCTGACAGACTTGCCCGACAAAGGGCTGCCACAAGCCTTCAATTTGTAAAAGAGACAAGTATCTGCAAAGCACAATAAAGTGCAATAAAACAATGTATGCCTGTATGGGGAAAGCTGCTTTATTTACTTATACAGAAACGTGTGGGCTTTTGTTTTATTTCAGAAAGAAGAATTCAGGTAAACTCGTAAGTTACATGGAAAATTATGTGCCTATTAAAAGTATCCACTTTACCATCCCAAAATATATCTCACACCTCAGAGGATTCCATCTTCTCGTTAAGTTGAACACTTCAACGTAAAATGCAACAATCCTGCCACGAGACTAGCCACTTAAATCAGAAGATTCACTATGTGGTGGGAGTGAAAAGAAGCTAGCCTTGTCAGGCTAAAGAAATCCGTTCTTACAAAAACCCCCGAAAAAAGAACATTTGGAAGATTACAGCAGGGTTCTAAAATATCTGTAGACCAGAGCAACAGAGAATGGCCCAAACCACTGCCTAAAAGCCAGTGCCTAACGCACCAGCTTCTCAGCCATTTCTAAGCTTTATCTAAAGCCCATTCTATTAGCAAGGGGCACTGGGTAGTGAGGGGGGTTATTTTTCAGATAAGGGAACAGAGCAATAGCCGACAGCTTGCTTTTTTCTGCTTTTTTTTTTTTTTTCTTCTACAGAGGTCCTAATGCCACTCCTAGTGCCCCGGAGTAACAGCCCAGATAACTTCCTCTTTGCATAGAAAACACTGCCCCACTCAGTTAATCATCCCGTAGATATTCCCTCTGGCTAAAATCAAAAGGGAAACATTACCACAATCCAAATTTTTTACCAAATAAAACATTGTTACCAAAATCCTTTACCTAATATCCGGTGGCAAAAGAGAGTATGGGAGGAGAAGAGCACAACTTTCCAATGAATGTATTACAAAGTAATCTGTGTCATCTATTTCCTACAAACTAATGGTCTTCAATTCTGAGATAGGCACGAAATCTACACCAAATGTCCACCTAAATGTGGATCCTCTCAAACAGTCTAGATTCATTTAAACAGTTAGTTTACGAGGTTTATGCGATTTGGGTATTTATTTTCTTCGGACTAGAAGCAGCTTGGTGCCACATACAAAAAAACCACAACACAGGAATTTTGTTTTCCTTACTGGTTTGGTTGAAACCCTACAGGGCTATAGGGCTGTTCTGCTCGCTGGAGGGAACGGGAGAGAGGGACAGGTGTTACTGCTCGTAATCAATCAAACACTGGCTTGGATAACAAAGTGATGTTAAAACAGGCTTCAACATGGAGCTTCTTACCAATAATCATTGCAGTGAATAGGTCTCTATATAAGAAATTAAACAGGAAAGGTTCATACCAGGCCTCAACTCCCACAATCGCAGTCACTATGTAGACAAAAGATATAGTCTGGAAGGAAAATGCAGACAAAAGCATACAGAGGCATTAACAGCTGGAAAGGTCAAGGAGCCCGCAATGCTGTATGCAGCGTTAAATCTCGTAGTTTTAGTAAAAGCAAGAAGTACACTTAAATTTGATAATGTGGCAAGTCTTCTTCCCTTTAGAAGTTGTGTTTTTTTTAGCCAACGATGCCATAAAATAACTAACTTCTACACAATGCAAACAACTGGCCATAATTTAGAACACTTTAAGGCACTTCAGGAATCGGTTAAGGTACGACACGGTCCAATTTGCCTACCCGATCACTTTCTTCAAACATTCCAATGTCTGAGGCTTTACTGGGACCTTAGGTACAAATGGGCAAAATGGCAACACAAAAAGCTGGGATTCGAAAGCAGGGAGAGTTAATAGCAAGCCTCTTAAGTAAAAGAAAACAAGTATCTCTACTCATTGAAAGCTCCCAGTAAAGAAAAAAAGCAACAATTATATGTGCATCTCTCTCTTTACAAAATCAACAGTTCAAAGGAATATTTATTAACATTAAGAAACTGCTCATTTTCTAGTTAATAATGACATTGTGATTATGTCTTTTTAAAAGTGCTTTTACTACTTAGAGATAGATGGGAAAATGTTGATCACATAATATCAGGAATTTCCTTTAAAATAATTGGGAGGAAGGGTATACATGAAACTAGACTGGCCACATAGCTGTTGAACCTAAGGAACAGGTACATAAGGGTTCACTATGCTATCCCTACTTTTTTATGTGCTTGAGATTTTCATAAATAAGCAACAAATAATACAAGATAAAAAGGAAATTTTTTTAAAAGCACACATCAGTTCTGGCCAAAAACGCATAAGGGCAATAAAGAAGGAATGACAATGACAAAGACTACTCCCTTCCCCCTCCCCCCAAAAAATTCATAGCACTGTTGAAAATTTAAGGCAGAACACATACTTACCACCTGGCTAATGTCATATCCCCACGGCAGGAAAAGAATCCCTGTATTATACTTTTCCCAGTGGGACAGGATAAAAGAAAACAAAACTACCCATAGTAGGAGATAAAGAACAAAAACACTGACACCAGATGGTCCTCGTCCAAAGATGGAATACACAGTCACAACAAAGTAAACACATGACCAACTATCAAGGCCATGGTCAAAAAGCTCCCCTAAAGGGGTGCTGGAATTGGTTCTCCGGGCCTGCTTTCCATCCACACCATCTGCAACAGAAACACATTACCATGGGAAAAGGTCAACATCGGTACCGCAGGGAGAAAATCTTCTTTAACAAACTGGAGAAACACAAAACAAATCAGCGTATCATAGGAATGTTGATGAACTAAAGTACAGCGACCAGCCAGGACTGTAAAAATCCAACCTCTAATTCCTACAATTCAAAGATTTCAGAAAAAAACAAACAAACAAAAAACCCCACCTTAACTTCTTAGAGTTTAACCTAAAACTTAAAGTATATTACATCAACTAAATGGTGTCAATTTTAGATGTGAGGACAAAGCACTGTAGTTGGACTCTGAATTCTTCCAAATCGGACTAACAACTGAGTTGTTCTGCTAGCCACAAATTCTCAGGCCTCCAGAGAATATGCAATAGTTATTCATCACAACTGATCTGACCACTCCTTGCTCTAGGATCCAAAAACATCCCGAACTTCAGTCGTAACACCTATTTCATCTTGTTTGAAATTACAGTCACTTGGTTACAGATGTGCTCCTTCCCCGATTGTAAGTGCTTTCAGAAAAGGCTTTGCACACAGCAGGTGTTCGGTAAATATAAGAATTAAATGTATTGTAACTGTGCAAGGCACTGTTCCTGATGCTGTGAAGATTATCATAAGAATAATCTCCGAATAAAGTAAGTTTGCGTCCTCAGTGTTTATAACTGAGAACGGAGACAAAACATGGCGATTAAAGATACAGTACATCCCAAACCACAAAAGAGTTCGGAAAAGGGACAAGCACTCTTCACGCCAAGATAATCAAGAACGGCCTTCCAGACCAGATGAAACCTGAGTGGGGACATAAAGAATGAGTTGGATTTCAGTAGATAAGAGTATGCTGTTTCAAGAGGAGGGAGTGCTATCAGCAAAAACACCAAGATGGAAAAGCACATGCGTGTTCAGAGAATGCCAAAGTTGTTTAGGTCGACCAGAGGAAACCAGTAGGTAAAGAGGGCGGTAGAGAGGCCAGAAGGGAGGTTGGAGCCAGCTCAGAAGTTTCAGGGAGCACGGGGAGCTACGAAAAGGATGTGAGTAGGGGAATGACAGGGGTAAAGGCAGAGACGTGCTTCAGGAAGATTCACCTGGCAGCAGTGTGAATGGCAGGCTGGAGAGAGAGAACACTAACCAGTAAGGCCCGCACTGACATGGAATACAGCAGGAATGAAAGGCTGGAGGCGGGTGAGATATTAAGAAAGTCAAACTGGCAATGCAGCAAAAGATGAGCGGTGAGGCTAAAGGACCAGAAGATCCTCCCGATTTCCCGTCTGGGTAACTAAGAGAGTGGTAGAAATGGGGAAGTCCAAAGAGCCTGCCTGACGGAAAAGATGCTGAGTACAAGTTTAGATGCTAAAACTGAACTGTTGGTAGAATTATCCACATGGTCATGTCAAGCAACTCAACCTCAGGTACTTACTAACAACTCAGAAAATATATGAGGGCTGGATAGAAACACAAGAGTCATCTCAATAGTGGTAAGAATTATCGAGGGAATAAGAGGAAAGGGAAAGTTGAGGATACAGCACAGTGAAACACCTTCATTTAGGGGCAGAAACAGAGGAGCTGGGGCGTGAGGGGTGTAGGGAGAGAAAAAGAGAGGGGGAACAGTAAAACCTAGTTAAAAAGAAGAGTCTGAGGGGCGCCTGGCTGACTCAGTCGGAGGGGCACGTGACTCTTGATCTCAGGGTTGTGAGTTCGAGCCCCACGTTGGGTGTAGGGATTACTTAAATAAAACTTAAAAAAAAAAAGAGTCTGAAGCATTGCTCTGCACGCTTGTGCAAGAACCAACCACCCTGCTATAAATAAGACACAATTCCTGTGGTCTCTCAGGAACCGTGAGTCTAGTAGGAGAGACAATATTAAGGAAAAAAAAAATCTGAACTATAAAAATTTCTCCCCAAAAGAAACAGTTCTATTAACAAGTGCAGCAGGATTAGGCTAATAGTAAAGATTCAGGAATTAAAAATTCCTATAATTACCTGTGCTTATCTTGCTCACTATAGTATTATCCCAGTGTCTAGCTCAGTTTGTTGCAAAGAAGGCCTTTAGGGGCACCAGGGTTAAGTGTCTGACTCCTGATTTCAGCTTAGGACATAATCTCACAGTTAGGGAGTTCAAGCCCCGCATCGGGCTCTGTGCTGATAGTGGAGAGCCTGCTCGGGATTCCCTCTCCCCCTCCTCCCTCTGCCCCTACCCTGCTTGTGCTCTCTGTCTCAAAATAAATAAATAAACTTTAAAAAATCTTTTTTTTTTTTTTTCCAAAAAGAAGGCCTTTAAAAATATTGTTGAAGGAACACATGAGAGGATGAATCCCAGATTCCTGCCCAAATACTGCAGATCTCTGTTATATAGCGTTAGGAACATTTCTGCTAGCTGAAGTATTTCCAAACAGTCTTTTCTCATTATTTGCTGGCTTAATTTACTATTTGCAGGGCAACTCCTGTGCATTTGTTACAAATACTAAATCTGTGAACTGCATACTAATTAGGTCTTGTACATCTTCCCACTGAACCCATTCCAGCTCCACCAGTCTGGGGTGTGCGAAGTTACACAATGTTCTTTCAGAAAGGTAATTCAGGGTATATAGCATATATTATGACAAAAGAACAAAACAAAACAAAACAAAAACACCTCAGGTGGACCCAGAGCAGCACCCTGTGATCAAACACATTAATATTTCTGCAGCAAAATGTAAGAACAATCACACTAGTAGAATATAGTTTAAAAGTTGCCTCATGTTGGTTCAAGGCAGTTTTGCAACAAATAGTTCATGTTCGGTCAGGATTTTTGCCAAAACTGTGGATGTGAGAAAGGTAGATAATATGGTATATCAAAAAGCTCTTATGACCTGCCATTAAAAGAGCCCTCAGGCCACTCTCACCTTTTTCCCTATTCCTCCCTGCCCTTGGCAACCAAACCCTAGAGCAGATTTTTTTTTTATGTTTCGAAATGTTTATTTATTTATTTTGACAAAGAGGGAGAGAGGGAATCCCAAGCAGGCTCTATGCTGTCAACACAGAGGGGCTCGACCCCATGAACCGTAAGATCATGAGCCAAAATCAAGAGTCAGATGCTTAACTGACTGAGCCACCCCTGCAGCAGAATTTTTTTATTTTTAATTTTTTAATGTTTTTATTTTTGAGAGAGAGACAGTGTGAGCGGGGGAAGGGCAGAGAGACAGACAAACAGACAGACAGAATCTGAAGCAGGCTCCAGGCTCTGAGCTGTCAGCACAGAGCCCTGACGTGGGGCTTGAATACATGAACTGAACCATGAGATCATGACCCGAGCTGAAGAGGGACACTAAACTGACTGAGCCACCCAGGCGCCCCTACAGCAGAATTTTTAAACCTGCTCATCTTTAAGAACAAATATGCAAAAGCTTCTGCCTAAAATGTAATTTTTCACTAAGCTTTCTCCTAATTCTTCTGGACTTCACTCTCTTCCTTCCCCAAATTCTTGCAGTTCTGGTCACCTGCAATGTCAGCATGTAATCATATACCAGATTATACTGGTTTTATGAGTCATTTTTATCCGAGAGATCTAAGCAACTTTAAGTCAGGGTCTGGTATTTTATATTCACTTAAAAACTATATACTTAAAAAAATCATGAAAAGCTGGGGGGGAGGGGTGGGCAGCGTGGCTCAGTTGGTTGAGCATCCAACTTCGGCTCAGATCACGATCTCGTGGTTTATGAGTTCAAGCCCTGTGTAGGGCTCTGTGCTGACAGCTCAGAGCCTAGAGCCTGCTTCGGATTCTGGGTCTTCCTCTCTCTCTCTGACCTTCCCTCACTTGTGTTCTCTCTCTCTCTCTCTCTCTCTTTCTCTCAGAAACAATAAATGAATAAACTTTACAAAAATCATTTTAAAAAGTAATAAAAAAATAAATTTTATACATAAAAATGAAAACTATATACTGACTACCTACTATGTGTTAGGTACTGTTCTAAATACTGGGCACACAGTCCTCAAAGAATGTACGCTTTAGAGTAGAGAGACAAGTAGGTCATGTGGTTTTGAGTGCTATGGAGAAAAATAAAGCAGGGAAGGAGAATAGGAGAATGCAGGACAAGCCATGCAAACAGAACCAACAAAAAGCATTCTTGGCAACATAGACAGTTATGGCCTAGCACAGGGACCTCCCTTACCACCTCCTGCACCAAAGAAGAATTAATTACTTTCTTATTCTCCCACTCATTCCTGTTTCCCCGCTGTGCTCTATTGTAGCAGCTCTCTCCATACTCCACAATTATCTGACAGGTCGGCATTGTTTCCCAAACTGAAGGCAAAAATGATGTCTTATTCCAGTTGCTGGTAAATATTTTTTGTAAGGAGCCAGATAGTAAATAGTTGAGGCATTATGGGTCATCAGGAGACACCGTTGCTACTACTCAACCTTGTCTTTGTTGCAAAAAGCAAGCATAGAGCCCTTTTGGTTCCCCGAGCAGAGTCATGGCAATCAGTAAGAAGAAGGGCCTTACAAAAGGCAGCAAAAAAGGGGGCCAAGAAGAAAGTGGTTGATCCATTTGCTAGGAAAGATCAGTATGAAGTGAAAGCACCAGCTATGCTGTAAGAAATATTGGAAAAACACTAGTCACGAGAACTCAGGGAGCCAAAACTGCATCTGATGGCCTCAAGGGTTGTGTTTTGTAAGTGAGCCTTGCTGATCTACAGAATGATGAAGTTGCATTTAGAAAATCCAAGCTAATAACTGAGGATGTTCAGGGCAGAAACTGCCTAAGTTCTATTGTGTGGATCTCACCCGTGGAATTCTAGGAAAGTTCCATGGTCACAAAATGGCAGACCACGATTGAAGCTCATGTTGATGTCAAGCCACCGACAGTTATTTGCTTCATCTATTTTGTGTTGGTTTTACTAAAAAACCCAACAATTAGATTTGGAAGGCCTTTAGGCTCAGCACCAACAGACCCACCGTGTTCAGAAAAAGACAATGGAAATCATAACCCGAGAGGTGCAGACAAATGACTTGAAAGCACTGGTCAATAAACTGATTCCAGACAGCATCGGAAAAGACACAGGAAAGGCATGTCAATCTATTTATCCACTCCGTGATATCTTCATTAGAAAAGTAAAAGTGCTAAAGAAGCCCAGGTTTGAGTTGGGAAAGCTCATGGAGCTTCATGGTGAAGGCAGTAGTTCTAGAAACGCTACTGGGGATGAGACCAGTGCTAAAGTTGAACGAGCTGATGGATATGAGCCACCAGTCCAAGAATCTGTTTAAAATTCAGTCATTTAATGGTGACAAATAAGAAGTCTTATTTGTGACGTTAAAAAAAAAAAGCAAGCAAGCAAACAAGCAAGCAGGCAGGCAGGCAGGCACAGACAACAAGTAAAGGAATGAATATAGCAGTGTTCCAACAAAACTTTACTTATAAAAATAGGACAGAGTTGGCCTGCAAGAGGCAGTTTGCCAACTCATATCTTATTCTCTGCATCCCTAGCAATGAATGACAATATTTTCCAGAGAGAAACTCAAAAACATATTTATTATACTGAATAGGAAATCAGTAAGCCCTAGTTAAAATGAATTAAGCATAGCAGAAAATGTTAATTTAGCGGATGGCTATCCTTGCTGAAAGAGTCACCAGCCATTGACTAAAATGAATATTTGCCAATTTCTTACCTAGAGTGTAGGCTATGAAGTTGAGGATTCCCACCACAATCCAAACCCAGTCGGGTACATGCTTGTGACCCGGTGCTGCAAAGGAAAGCACTCAGACTTCAATACAAAATATGATCATTCTTACTACAGCACCCACTGCCATTGAGAAATATTTCTATTAAATAGAAGTTCTATTAAATAGAAGTTAAATAGAAGTTTACAATACACTTTTATGCAGATTTAGGTAAATATTAAAATACATCAGGACACTGACAAAACCAAAGAAGTAACTGCCCAACCCCTCATAAACAACAGGCACTTATTTTGAGCTTTAATCATAACTCAAAACTGACTGTTCATCTCTACCTGAAAATTACTTACATGCTAAGAATGAAAAGTAATGTTTTTGGAACTTAAAAGATGCTTGTGTTTAATCTGATCTTCATTGTTGACGAATATCCTACAAACACGTATTGAACCTTCAATCTATATTTTCTCACTACATTATTAACTAGCTAAACAAAAGACCTTTTCATTTGGGTGACTAAGTATCAGAAGGTCTGGGTTCCAGTCCTGGCTCTATATTCAAGCAGCTGTGTGACCATGAATAGATCGTTTAGCCTTTCCTATCTTCCATTTCCCAAATATACCAGGACTAGATGGTTTATCTGGTCCTCTAGTTTCTATGATTTGGGGAAATACACATAATATTTACATATTTTTAGCCCTCTTAATAACTAGTAAATAATGTTAGAGTAGTTAGAAAAATTAATATTTCTAGTTATAAAAGAAACTTTTGAAGACGTTCTAAAGATTAAAATACAAATTTTTAAAAGCCGCTTAATATCAAAACCATGCTTGATAAAATTTAATCTTATTATCCACATAGTACCTTATGATCTTCGATTGTCATTTTATTACATGTACAAAAGCTATGGCTTAAAATTTCAATTGCTAAAGGTAGGCATACAGTTTCAATATTCAGAATTTCTATAGGATCAAGTTGTAAGTTTTTCCTAAAAAAACAATGTTGTTGGTGACTTAATTTCTCCAGGTCAGTCCACAAAAGTCTGCTAACCCCACAACACCAGTGAATTATAACACTAAGACTATTTACTACATCATTGATAAATATTCTTACTGGAAAATACATACTCTGACTTAGAATGCAAAAATTATTCATCTACCTCCATCTTTGTATTCCTCTCAACCCTATCAACCGGCTGAGCAATGAAAATAAACTCATTCGGCCATTTATCCCCCCTCATCCCAAATACAGCCAGATTCTGTCCTATGGCCCAGGGCAGAAACAGGGCAAGGGAATGTGAAGACAGGAACAACTATGAAAGAAAACACTGGAGTCTGGGGTGGAAGCAGGCCAACAACTGCCTCCAAAAGCATTTCTCTTCTCCCTTCCCCAACTGACTTCTGTCAATAAACATCCACGGTCTAAGAACCATTTTCACAGGAAACTTGGAGTTATTCAAGGCAAATGTGGATGCTGAGCAGAGGGAAAGAGAGATCACATTCCCGTCAAAGGCGGGGGGGGGGGGGGTGATTTTTCTTGCATCATTAGAAAAAGAGAAGGGAGGGGCGCCTGGGTGGCTCAGTTGGTTAAGCGGCCGACTTTGGCCCAGGTCATGATCTCGTGGTCTGTGAGTTCGAGCCCCGCGTCGGGCTCTGTGCTGGCAGCTCAGAGCCTGGAGCCTGTTTCAGATTCTGTGTCTCCCTCTCTCTGACCCTCCCCCGTTCATGCTTTGTCTCTCTCTGATTCAAAAATAAATAAATGTTAAAAAAAATTTTTTTTTAAAAAGAAAAAGAGAAGGGATATTTCTGGAACTGGTAAATACGTTGGACCCTGCTTATACTCACTTTCAGGCAAAGTGTCACAGTCCTAAATATTTTGTCTTCTTGTAAATCCAATTATTCTTTATTTATCAAAACCCCAATGCTTTTTAGACAGCCCATCTACATTAAGTAGCCAATTTGGTTTCTAGAACTTAATGGAAATATGCATAACAGATTGTGAAAACACAACTTAGCTTTTACACCCAATTCTAACATTTTATATACCTTTAAAATATCCAGAACTTCTCCAACAGACAAGCATATTAATTGAACCAGAAAATAACCACATGTCATTTTTCTCCATTTAGGCATTTTAAAATTTATATTAAAGTAATAATCTTACCTGAAGCATAAAAGTCAGGATCAAAGTATGCCATGAGTAGGAAATTGAACACAACCAGCAGAAAGCCAGAGAAGGTTATCAGATTTGGAGCCAGCCAAGTAGGAAATACCTATTTGTTTCAAAATAATTACAAAATAATTAAAGTAAAGGAAGAGCTCTGGCCACTATGCAATATGAAACTTAAGTCATAATAAAAGCTATAAACTTGACAGATCATACCTATATATTAAATTTAATACCTATTTATTAAAACGTAAACCACAATGTTCAGTTGATAGAAATAAGCATTTCATTCTTCTGTTTTCTATATTTTAAATTCTATAATCAACAAACTTATAATCATAATATTATTTTAGAAAATGTTTAAATGCATTTTATAAAAATGATAAATTCTAGTATACGAATATAAACTTATACTTCAACAATAAAATAAATCAAAAGGTATGTGACTAAGGGAAAGGAGAATGAGAGTAATTTCTCTAGGCATCTTACTAAACAAACACTTGTATCCATAACACTCCTTAAAATACTTACAACTTACTAAAACGTAAGTACAAGCCTATTAATCGTCTTACCTTTACTATAGTATTCCAAAATGGATGCATGACATACAGAGAGAGTGGATTGGTATCCACAGCACTGTACTGTTAAGAAATGAAAAGAAAATATTCAGTTCTCCTTGCACACTGGCAAGTAGTACAATAATCCTGGAGCGAAAGTAATACTACAAAAATAACCCAGAGAACATGTCTGTTTACATGATGTCCTGGTCTATATAACAAAACTGGAGGAACAATATAAATAGGGCAAAGACAGTCAAGTACAGCCACGTTTCTCTGTTTCACTCAACCAACTTTTATAGTGTTACACTGTTTCGGTGGGGAGATTTATATTGCTTACAAGGTCTCACTCACAATGCAAGATCAAAAACGCTCCCACTGTGTACATTCAAACACTGACTTTCTCAACCTCCTCCGAATACGCTTACTAAGTGTGCAACCTCGGGCAAGTTACTTCATCTCTGCCTTAGTTTGTCTGCTTGTAAATGAGGACGATAGCTTCTACCCCAAAGGTCTGCCATAAAAATTAGGCAAATTAACCATACGCATGAGTGCCACGTATTAGATATTACTAACTGTGCTCTGACCACCAAAGGATGACAGATCCCTTTACAGCAGGAAAACGGATCACATACATAAGCAACGGAAGACAACAATAGGTTAGGGTTCTGTGGTAATCAAGATTATTCCCTAATTATGGAGTTATTCAGTCAAAATTCAAAGGAGATTTTAACAAATAGACACACACATACTGGAGTACCTGGCCTGCTGGAAGCACTCCACTAGGTGTGGGGAAGAAGGGATACTTAATTGGTAAGGGATCATTCCCACCTCAAAGAGTGGGAATATTACCTAATTCGTCCAGTTGACATTTACACAATGTCACAAAGAGTCAAATGTCTGAAAAAAAGTTTGTGTTGTTTTTTTTTTTTTAATTAAGTCTATTTATTTATCTTGAGAGAGAGTGTGTGCAAGCCAGGGGAGGGGCAGAGAGAGAGGGAAAGAATCCCAAGTAGGCTCCAATGCGGTGCTCAGTCACACAACGGTGAGATCATGACTTGAGCCTCAATCAAGAGTCAGACACTTAACGGACTGAGCCACCCAGACACCCCAAAAAGTTTTGGGTTTTGTTTAATTAATTAATTTATTTTGAAAGAGACAGCAAGCAGGGGAGGGCAGAGAGAGAGGGGGAGAATCTCACACAGGCTCCGCTGTCAGCACAGAGCCCAACGTGGGGCTCAAACCCACAAACCGTGAGATCATGACCTGAGCCAAAATCAAGAGTTGAATGCTCAACTGGCTTAGCCACCCAGGAACACCCACCCCCCCCCCCGAAAAGTTTTGTATTTTATATTTATGCTTAGTATGTACATAAAATTGGTAGTAAGCGTTTGAATATCTAATTTTTTAAAAATCATAAAGGTCAAATTTCTCCCTGAATGCTTTTGAATACACAGGAAGTGTTTTCTCATCAGTGTTTCAAGACTCACAGGTGTGATGGAACAAAAATAGTAAATAAACAGAAATAACTTAAAATACTGGAGCAAAGACAGATAACTAGTTAAGTCAAAATGATCGAACAGACTCCATGTCTGAGTACCTTCATTTCTCCAACCCATTCCGACTGAAATGGGATCAGTGGGACAAAGGACCTGAGCTAGACTGTGGGAGGAAAACGGAGAAGAACTCTGCCAGCCACAGTGAGAGGCTGTGCGGCTTCGGCCAGACTCCAGGCGAGAGCCTACTTAAATGCATGTTACTGTTCTGACTACAGTCAATTTGTGGAGCACCCGGCTGGTTCAGTTGGAAAAGCATGGGACTCTTGATCTCAGGGTCATGAGTTCAAGCCCCACACTGGGTGCAGAGAGATACTTAAAAAATTAAAACAAAACAAAATAAAATAAAATAAAACTGGTACTTGCACGGCCCTCTACAGGCCACAAAACCTTTCCACATAATAGACACAGCTACATCTACACCTCTGCAGAATGAGGGGTCCTCAACTGACAGGACTGCTTGGATTTAAGTCTCTGCACCTGAGGACACAGAACGAGCAGGAGCCCCTGGCAGCTGCCAATAACAAGGGGGAGGCCCTGGCCGCACCCAGACCCACTTGATGTAGCCAGCGGGTCAGATAAACGGGGAAACCACACATTTCAAGTCCACCATCTACTGCAAAGTACAAAAGTTGTAAGAAGTCCAAATCAGAAGGAAACTGTTTAAGACATCACATGAGTACCTAATATGGTGTACAAAGTACAATGTTAATTGGAATGTTTGCTGAATGAGTGTCTTTCAGCAGTTTTCCATTATTTAATTTAGAACTACAAAGATGTCCTTAAATGACAGTATTTTGATCTGAAAAGCTCTTCTTTTTAAACCCTCAAGTTTTACCATTGAACTTCTACTTCAGGAGATCAGTAGTATGAAAAGAACAAACAGCTAAATATAAGAAAGTCAGTCTGCCTAAATGGATCTTCCACATTTAAGCTCAAGTAAGCAAGAAAATGTAATAGGAGATCACAAAAGGTAGCAACCAATAAACCTAAAGAACACTCCGTGCTCTAGCCTTACACACCTGAGTATTTTTCAAGATCACGTATCACTTAGTACAAGCAAAGAAACTTAAAACTGTCTTGTGAGTCAACAGGAGGAAGAAAAATGATTCAGACCTTCCACATGCATGAAAAAATAAGTAAAACATACACTTTTAAAGATGTTAAACTAGATTTAGGTATTTGTTAATGCTCAGTAAACATATTTTTATTTTCTATTGGAATGGTATATATCCGAGTATCTTAACCCAGTAGGCAATCCACCGTTAAGCTCACTGTGACTTGCTTGATCTCCAGACTGCAAGGCTGGATGAAGCTATCACCCTGGAGAAATGGCTGAAAACCATAGCCTGGGTTTGAGAAAATCTCAGAATCATAAGCGTTCAGGAGATGTCTAGGTCTTATGTGCCTGACCCTCGCCTATGCAAACAGGTACAACAATCATCTGGCCTCCTTTTAAATGCTTCTGGGGCAAAAAACTCATTATTTCCAGAAGCAACGCAACCCATGTTAAACTAACTTCTCTATACACTAACAAGATCCTCCCCTTGCCCCGTATTTTCTATCCTGTTTTCATTTTGTCTTACGAAGTTAAGCAGACAGGGGTCCAATTTTTCTTCTGAACAACAGTGCTTCAAATATTTGAAGACTGCTCTCTCCCTGTCCTGCCCACTGCTTCTCTTCACCTGCTTAAACATCTCATGTCCCTCTTGCTGCTCCTCTTGCCATGCCTTCAATCTTCTTCCTCACCTAGGTCTAGTCTTTAGACCAGAGGTTGGAAAGCTTTTCCGGAAAGCATCAGATAGTAAATATTTTAGGCTCTGCAGGCCATATAGTCTCTGTAACAAACACTACCACTGAAGCAAGCAAGCAGTCACAGAAAATAAGTACACAAATGGGCACGGCTGTGGTCCAGTAAAATTTTATTCACAAAAACAAGTGCCTGAGGGCTTTAGTTTGACAATCTATACTCCACACGACCCAAAATGTTGTTAAGCCAACAAGAACATGTGATCGGGGCAAAAGAAACATTTCATGTGGTGCAGGAGTAGAAAGAACATGACCATAAGCCCCTCTTCCTCAATGACTTCTCTGATGCCCAACATATTACTTTCCTATGGCAACAAAAGCATTCTGCAGAGTTAAACACAACCGCACAGTTGGACTGCTAAAGTACCTTTCTCTAAACTAATATGATGACTGTTGGAACCCAGTACTGGACTCTACATTTATCTTATCATATTTTATCTTATTATTTTATCTTATCTCATCCTTCTATCCCTTCCAGATCTCTTCAGATTCAGACTCACTTATCAAGGTGATAGTTATGCCTCGCCAAACCCTCAGCATGTCATGCTAATAATAGTACCTTCACTGAAGTCTCTGTAAAAATGCTGATCAAGATAGAACTTCTGAACATTTCCCTCAAGATTGCTCTTAGTATACTGAGTAATTGTTACTTAGGTATAGAATTCGGTACCGTCACCTATGGCAATTAGTCCATCTTGCCCATGAGAAGAAATTTTCTTAAAATCTTAGTAAGATCAGAATTACTTTAGATTACCTTTTGCCAAAAATCAGAAAGTTTCAGAACTTTTTTTTTACTTCAGTACAAGGCAGAAAATAGAGCAGCGTTCATTCTTCACTCATTCATTCATTCAGAAAGCCAACAAATATTTATGATTGAATACGTATGATTGTACCAGGCAACTTTTTGCTAGGCCCAGTGAAGAGAATGATGAACAAGACTAAAACATTCCCTATGCTCACCAAGTCTATGGTCTTCTGTGAGATAGACGATAAGCCCAAACACAAAGAAAAATCACACGTTGTGTTAAATACTGTGAAGGAATAAGAGGGTATTTTGCAAGAGGCCAAGGGGTAGGGAGTATGCCTAGTCTGAGTGGTCAGAGAAAGCTTCACTAAGGAAGGGACACTTCGGCTGGGTCCTAAAAGATGAGAAGACCGGCAAGGAACATATGAGATATTATAGGGAGTGAAGAAGTGAGACACTAAAGAGAACATGCTGTTGTAGATTCCATTTATATGAAGTTCAAAAACAGACAAATTAATTTATGGCGAAAGAAGTCATAATAGTAGTTTGATGAGAAAGACTGAAAGGGGGCCTTCTGAGTTGCCAGAATCAATTCGATTATCTTGATCGCAGTGGTGGTTATATGGGTATATACATGTGTAAAAATTCATGAAATTAGGGGCGCGTGGGTGGCTCAGTCAGTTGAACATCTGACTCTTGATTTCAGGTCATGATCTCATGGTTTGTGGGATCGAGTCTGCAGTGCGGAGCCTGCTTGGGATTCTCTCTCTCCCTCTCTCTCTCAAAAATAATGAAACAAATAAAAAAAAAATTTTAATGTCATTAAATTAGACACTTAAGATCTGTGCATCTATATGTAACTTATACCTGAAATGAAATAGAAAATAAAGAATACGTGCGTGGCAGCGCGTGCGTGTGTGCATGCTCACACCCACGCATATTGCAGGGAGGGGAGTGCGTGCCAAGCTACCTTC